TATTCAAAATAACCACTGACATCAATTGCCTAAGGCTATTTTTGTATTTGGTGTACTGACTCGGGGGGATTAAACACAAAACAGGGAAAGAAGCAGTAGGTGGACTGAACTGAAGGCAGTGGGCTCAGAAAAATAGATTGGCTTCTCACAAAGCCCTAGCCCAAGATTATGACGCAGGACTGCCTACAGCTTTTTAGCTGCTCAGAATCTAATCCCTAGAAGTCTGTGGCAGTGGCTGGCTTTTAGACAGATAGATCTGAGCTGGAGAGAGGTAGAGTACAAAAACACAGCAGAATCCATGATTGAGTCTAAATAAATGGGCCAATCTGTATTGTACACCCAGTATGAGGGAGCACGTTCACAGAAGCACAAGGCCAAGGGGACCGCAGAGGCTCTGTAAAGCAAACCAGATGTTGTCACCATCAGCAGCCTGATTTGTCCATTCCCCCAATTGGCCTGCTTTTATATAGTTAATTTCTGCATATAGAGATATACTATTATAACCACGAAAGGATGTTTCTTGCCTCTTCCCCCAAATCCCTAGCTATCATTTCACCCAGTTTTAGTTCAAATGTACATAAGACACTTTTTAATGGGTAAACTGGCCAGAATAGCTAATGTTTCCCTGGCTGTTTCAGTACATAAACTACATTCTAAAAACAAATCTATTGGTACTGATTCTTGACTCACACCTGCTCCTTTCATTTTGCTAATCTCAGTTTCGTGGTTTTCTGGTCAGAATAGTTAAAGATAAAGAAAATTCAAATAGAAAAAAGCACCCATTGAGGGTAGGTGGAGGAACTCAATTAGGGCCATAGTACTGGGCTGTCTGCTTTGGTTTGGTTCTGCTGTTTTAAACTTTCAGTTCAGAGGCATGGTAGAGACAGAGGTCAGAATGGAAAACAGCATGAAGAGAGAACATAGCTTATATTTTGTCCTGAAATAAGAGGCCTCCTGGCCTACCACAGCCAGATGATTAGTTGTTTTTTTTTTTAAGGCAACTGGGGTTAAGTGACTTGCCCACGGTCACACAGTTAGTAAGTATCAAGTGTTTGGTCTGAGGGCAAATTTGAACTCAGGTCCCCCTGACATCAGGGCTGGTGCTCTATCCACTGTGCCACCTTGCTGCCCTGAAGATGATTAGTTCTCAAGGTGAGTGGAGCAGAGGCTTCAAGGCATTGCCTTTGCCTGGTGCATGTTACTGTGGACAGGGAACATGTCACTTGCTATTCTTCCTTATAACATTCTGCCCAGGTCTCTCAGCCCTCCTTCATTCATGTGTGGGTGGGCTGGTATGATTTCACTGGTCTGAAGAATAGCCAGTTCCTTGAGGCACGACACAGTCCACAAATGCTCCGAAACTGTCGAAGAGAGACCTAGGGACTGAGGAGTTCAGTGATGTTGACTAGGGCCATGGAGCTCTGCTTGTCACTTGAACCTATGGTTTCCCTACAACCAAGCGAGTAGATTTTCTCTCTATATGCTGCCTCTCTACATGAGGATAATATTCTGTACCACTGGCACACAGAGGTACATATGATAGCATCTTCAAAAAATAAACATTTCCAGAAAAACACTATCTTTTTATAAAAAATGTAAACTTTGACGTTTGAAATCTGTCAGTTCCAAATTCAGATCCATATCAGAACATTACAAATGGAAAGGATTCTGAAGATGCCTATTCTTAACCCACCCAACTTACACACAAAGAAACTGTGGCCCAGGGAGGCAAAGACATATGAAATAAGCAGCCTAGCTGGAACTAGAATCAGTTAATCTCCTGCCACCAGTCCAGAGTTCTTTCTATACCATACTCTCTTGATTGAGCTCTCAAAAATTTTATGGACATATCTACTAGTCATGAACTGGACAGAACAGCTTTGGAGCAACTCAGACAAATTGGGACGGAGGTTCAATTTAGGATATCACATTCTACAGAAAATATCATGCCACAGAATCCAAAACTCATGTTAAATGCTTGTATCTCAAAGGACAAATGACTCATGGGGCACTGGAAGAGGGCACCCAGAGAAGAGGCACCATTCAAGGTCAGAGTTCCAGAAATAGTGAGAAAGAGATGTCTCATTTTTCCATTATACTACAAGTTCACTGAGGGCTGATACTGTGTCTTACTAGACTTTAGACCTTAGATTCCTGCCCTCCCTACAAAGAGGCTTAAAGAGAAGGTACTTAATCAGCTTTAATTGAATGAGCCTTCCATGTCTTAAGGGTATGTGCTCCTACTCCTTGGGTGAAGGATTACAAAAAAGCTCATTAATACTTGCATACACACACACACACACACACACACACACACATACACACACACCCCCACCCCGAATGATGGATCATTTATATCATCCCCTGATCTCTGCTTTCAGTTAGGAAACATCTAAACCTGTAATTATAATACAGAAATGTCAATCAAATGAGATATGTGTGAAGTGCTTTGTAAATTTTAAAGTACCATGTAAATGTTAACTCTTATTCATATTGTTTTTGTGTGTTCTCCTTAAATTTTCCAGGATGGAAACAGGAATCAAGCAGCAGACTTTTTACCCCAAGGTACCATGAAACCAAGCCGCAAAAGTGTTGGTGCAGGGGACTAGTTATTCAGATATTAAAATAATTCGCACTCTCCTGCTATGGCCCAGGTAGCAATAGCCACAGACAGAACACGAGGAGGTGCTCATAGGCACAATCTGATTTGGTGAAAGCCTATTGATAGCTAAATGTCTCAGTTGAGCAGTCTTGCAGAAGTGATCTCATCTTGCCAGAAGTAATGGAGAAACTCATGCAAAATGAAGACAAACTATTCATTCAAAGATGGGTTATCACAGTACAGACAACAGCAATTCTCCTCTGCGTGCGTGCAAACACACACAAACACAGACACACATATATATGGCCCCTAACTTCTTCCTTCCTTTAATGCCTTCCCCATCAGGATGGTTCACAATAATACTCTGGATAATTATTTCTGAAATTATAGCCTGGGAAGCCTTGGGTTCATATACCATGGAAAGGAAAGAAGGAGGACCCAACAAATAGGGGCCAAGTATTTTGGAAAGAGGAGCAAAGGCCTGTAGCTATTTATTATAGCAACCTGGCTGTGAGGAGAATCATGGCAGAATGAGAATGGTTTTAATAACAGCAAACATTTAAGGCAAATTATACAATCTCTGGACAAATCATATCTCTAATATCTTCTTAGCATTTGGAGGGGAAAGGGCTCATATGAAGGATAACTTTCAACTTCTTGCAGAGAATGTCCTTTACTACATGGCCTGACAACTGTGTTCTTTCTACAGGAAATCAGGAAGGATACATGATATTCTCTGCAATGGTAATGTAAAGAGACAATCCCCTTGGGTGGTCTTTGAAAAATCAGGTCCTTTACTTTAGAGTCAAATCTTGTTCTTGGGCCTGGTTAGAAAAGGATGGATTTATATGATACTTCTAGAAGAGGAAGATGTGTGTGTAAAAGATAGACATTTCCTTTAATTCAAGGGTTTTAAACTTGTAGATCATGGACAGATTTCATGGTGAACTTGGATGAGCAAAAAAATTTCACTACCTTTTGGTTTCTTTTGTAATTCTCTGTGTTTTATTTTATATATGAAAAACATTATCCTCAGAAGGGCTCCAGTGGCTTCACCAGATGACTAGGGGCCCAGGACCCAAAAAGGGTTAAGAAGCCTTGATCAGGTTAGAAAAATGCTTGACCCTGTGGTTCTCAATCAGTCAGCTGCTCTCAATGACCCTGAAGAAGGAGCTACATATATAACCACTATCAAAATATTTAAGTAAATTAGGGCTAGAAATTGACCTTAATAGGTCATGGAGTTCCTGTTCCTGTATCTAGGAAAAGTTGACCTAAAACAGGCCAGTCGTATCCCTACTGGTTTTAAAGATCTTCAGAGAATTAAGTCCTAATATTGCAGACTCTTATGGTCAGCAGTCTTCCTTACCATTTTTTTCTTTTGGCCAGACCTATGATTTCATTAATGTAGGGAACTCCCAGTGAAGAAATTCTCTCTACTAATGCAGATCAGTTAGTTATGCAACTTCTAGTCTCAGCTCAGAGGTGTACGGGAACACTGAGAGATTAAGTGTCTTGCTTGGGATCACACACCCACTATATGTGGGACGTAGTTCTTTTTAAAAAAAAAAATTTAAATTTAAATTAAATTAAAATCAACCAATTTATTTATACAATAAATATATTTAATATATTATACTTTAATATAATAATAAATATATTGCTATATAATAAATGAAATAATTAGATTAATTAAATTAAATTTAAATAAATAATTTGTCATTCCCCCCATTATGTGTAAAAACAATTTTTAACATTCATTGTGGAGGCTGTTCTTGAAACTCAGATTTTTCTGACAAGGCACACTCTCAATCCACTAAGCCATACTATCTCTCACACTGTCTTCCTTATATTTAACCTAAATCAGTCTTAAGATTTAAGTCATTCTTTTTCCTTTTATTAGTGAAGGTAGAAGATATCTAATTACCATCTTCTATGTAAATATTTTCAGATAGTGGAAAAAATATGTTTTTTCTGTCATAAGATGGAGTCTTTTTTCCTATAAAGTTGTTTCAAGTTGTCTATGGGGATTACTTCCAAATCAATGACAGCGGTTGACAGAAACATATTGGGCATGTTAGTCCAAAAATGACAGCACAAGACTAGAAAGCTAAGTTCCCTCAGCTCTATTGTTTTGGACTCCTTAGATGATCTTGGGCAAGTCATTTTAAGTGGGGATTATACCAACAACCAACAGACCTTCCAGGGGAGTTTGAGGATTAACAAGTCAACCTTGATTATCTTGTACTGCTGAACCAGATTTTTATGAAGAAAAAAAAAATCAACTTTAAATACATTATAGCACTTCACTAGTAGCAAATTCATAGCAATTATTTTTTTAAAAAGCTGATTTTCATTTAAAACACCAAGCAAGAATGGACGTATGAATATTCCTAACCTGCAAAATGATTCCTCCACATAATATCAGCGAAACTCATTGGTGGGCCACTGGGAGGGTAGTGTTTACCTTTCAGAGGCTCATGATCAGTCCTTATCATATCCATTAAAGAGTTCTCCAAAGAATGCAAGTTAAATGTGTCATAGGGCCTATTCCGGTCCTAGAAACAGAAACACAAGACAAAAACAGCATATAATAAAAATGACTTCATAAAAAACACACTGTATGTTGCTTCCTAATCCCAATTAAATATATGAAACATATGCAACATGCTAATTACAAGCAAGGACTTCAACTTGACAACACAATTTTAAGCCTAGTCTAGTTACTCTTACGCACTTGAATAACACTGCAGAGGTTCTCTTAAAATGATCTATAACTTGCATGTTTCACTCTTTCAGACTGGTCTCTTCTGCCAATTAAACCACTAAAAAATATCTTAACAGTTATTAACTACTGGGCTTTTCCCTTTTTTTTCCTTTGCTTGCCATCCCATGACATGAAGAGGCAACAAAACTCCTGAGTAAGACAATTACCACCGACATAAGGAAGAAGTGTAGGGGAAAATGGCAATATCACAATGTCCAAGCTGAACTTCTTTCCCTGGATAAACAAAAGTTGACCATGTTAACAATGATGAAATATTAAAGCTTTTACTATTTAATTCTGAGGGAAAATATCAATTTTATTTACTCCTAATTGTTTTTGACAAATGATAGTTTTTCATATTTAGGATCATAGGCTTTGGAGTCCAAATAGAACTTTTGTCCAATCCCCTCATTTTACAGATAGGTGAACCAAAGAACCACAGGGATGAAGTGACACGTCCAAGGTGGTTAACTATAACTTTAACACATAAAAAAGGCTTATATCCAGGGTATTGTTTTCACAATGATTTATGGGATCATTCAAGAATAAAACAATAGGCATTTGATTCAGTAATATACATATATATATATATAATATTCACACTTGCATATACTTTGGGGAAGGCAAGAAAATTAAGGTCTACAATACTGTCTCAAATAGAAATATTTGAATAACATAGGTTATGTATGTAATTTCTAAGAACTTGGACCTAAGCAAGGAACAAAAAGCTCAAATTGGTATAGTGGCTATGGCACTGGACTTGGAGACAGACCTAGGCTCAAATCTTGTCTCAGACCCTTACTGGCTGGATGACCATGGGCCAGTCACTTAGTATCTCAGTGCCTCAGTTTCCTCACTGATAAGTGGAGGGGTTGGATTTAATGGCCTCTAAGTTTTCTTCCAGTTCTAAATCTATGACCCTCTGATCCCACAAGTATAGTTTTTGAGCTGAACCGTGTGACCCATGAGGAACATCTATGTAAACCATAGACCTGGGATCCTATATTATAATACAAGAGTGCTGATGTGAGAGAAGCTCTTAGGTGTTTGGAAATGTGGACAATGTCAGGCTCACAGGGACATCAGGTTTTTAGAAGAGTACACACAGAGGCAATGTCCCTTTTTCTTGTGCAAAGCAGAACTGCCTAGGTAAGTTAAGCAAGAAATAGCTGGCTCTGGTGCTATAATTTTTTCTTTTTATTTAGTATGAGTCCAAGAGAGATTTTGGAAATACTTTCTTCTGGCCACTTGGTTAGGTTCTTAGAGGGGATAGATGGAAGGGTTGCATAAATGTGGTATCAGTGCAGAAAACTCCAAGCGTGTAAACTCCTTCCATTGAAGCAAACATAAAATCAATCTGTAACTTGTTTTAGAAAGCAGTCTGGGGACACTAAATGCATAGGTGACTTGTTTAATATCACACAAGGCTATCTGAGCAGGACTTGACACTGGGCCTTCCTGACTCCAAGGATGACCCACTATCTACCTTAAATATTATCTCCAAGTCCTTTATTTTACAGATAAGAAAATGAGGCCCAGAGAGATGAAGATAAGGTCACACAGCAAATAAATGGTCAAATCAAGATCTGATTTCAGCTTTTCTGATTGCAGATCCAATGTTCTTTAGGCTCTGGGGCACTGGACGTGTTTACTGGCAAAAGCAGAAGTGGGATAGCTTTCAGATGAGAGGGGCAATGGTTAGAGCAGGCAGTGGAGCAATAGATGGAGGCAATTATGGATATATGGGAAGATCTATGAAAGTTGGGGAAATGGGGGGGAGTCGTTTGGTGTTATAAACAGACAATCGCACAAGGAGGAATTGGAGTATCTACACACTGATTTTGAGGATGTAAAAAAGTATGTTTACATAATTCTAAAGATCAGAAGGTTACAGTATTTATTTCTGATTACAGAAGCTTTGATAAGCTTATTTTTATTATAAATTTTATTGATATGGGATTAAAAATATTAGAGGTAGCAAAAATCATCACGTGAATTCAGATAGTTCTTCATGATCCTTGGTAAAAGTTGGCAGACCAAGTGGTCTTTTCCAACAATACTGCCTCTCATTTGTTCCTGCATTCCCCATTCCATCCAGATGAAAATATTTGTTCTTAACTTTTCTATAGTGTTTTTGCAAGTCTCAAGTTAGTGCACACAACTATTATTTAAGAATGTCACAATTTCCAGAAATGCTATTATATTGGTCCCAACACAAGTCATTGTATTGGGACAGGGCGGGAGGAGGGGTGGTGGAGGTGGGGAGCGGCGGTAAGGAAGTCATAGGTAAGAGAGAGATGTAATCACAAAGCAGAATGATAGTTCATTATCTACACTAACCGACTGAGAAAATTTCTGGGCTTCCTTTCCTAATTCTATGGGCCTGTCTGCAACCCCAGTGGTATCAATGGCATGAAGGAATGTTGAACTGTTAGGGATAGAGGAAGAAGAGAAAGAAGCAGCTACCCTGAGTCTTGAAGAAACAAAAAAGATTTCAACAGAGGGAAATGAGTCAGGCATGCATCTCGGGCAAGGAGAATAGTCAGTCCAGTTTGGCTAGATTGTAGAGTACAAGGAAAAAGAATGAAATCAGGCTGGGAATGAAGGTCAAAAAGTTTACAGAAGCCTTTAAATGTCAAATTAAATAGTTGGTAATCATCTTAGAGGCAGCCTGTTGTAGTATGAACAACACTAGGTATTTGGATTCAGATGACCTGGGTTCAAATTCTGACTATGCCACTCACAACTTTGTGACCTCAGGCAAATCGCTTCCCTCATCTATTGAATGAAAAAGGCTGAACTGGGTGACCTCTCGGGCTCATCTCATTCAAAATCTATATCACTGCAGGTTTCTGAGGTCCTCGTGCATCAGAAAGAATAGACAGAGACTGCTAGGTAAAAGGTTATTACAATCACAGCTCAAGCCATCATATGCCTGGGGAGAGGGGCGCAGAAGACACCTTGTACAAGAAGCACATGAGCATTACTGAATCTGCTGCTCAGAGACTTCCTGCGTGTTGACTTCTCGGTGCTCAGTAGTTTTCTGAGTAGCTGAGGTTGCCAGATAAATTTGTGTTATTATATATAGGGAATGTGGTAAGAACCAAAAGGTAAAGGATGATTCACTTAGACCAACCTATGGGTATTATATTTTGGTAAAACACAATTCATTTATAGTCCCGAGCCCCTTTGTCGGACAAACTGGATAAATGATCCCTGGCCAAGCAAGCTGTAGAAATGCAGATTTCAGCTCAATATGTAGGAAAACTTCCTAACGATTAAAGGTATAGAAAAGCCGAATGGGCTGCCCCAGGAGGTAGTTAGTTCCCCAATGATCAAAGTTTTAAGCAGAGACTATATGACCACCTATCCAGGATGCTACAGAGCTTTTTGGTTAGGTTTATACTTGGACAACACGGCCTTTGAGGCTCATCCCAACTCTGAAATTCTATGATCTCTATGTTTCTGACTGGAACAGAACAGAGACAGGAATAATGCCAGATGAAACAAGTGAAGTCCCAGAAAGGCAGATTGGGGCTTTCAAGACCATTTTTATTAACGGCTAGTTGTATAAACACAACTGTCTCTAATAAGTATTATAACCCATCCACCCACCCACAGGAAATGTCTGTGCTCAAGTGGAAAAAAGAACTTGGGCTCAAATCCTACTTCTAATGCTTACTACCTGCGTGACTGCGAGCAATTCACTTCCCCTCTCTGGCCTGTTTTCCTTATCTGTAAAATGAAGGAAGCAAACTACGTGACTTCTGAAGTGCTTTACAATTCTAAATCTATGATCCCACCAGCCCTCCCTGTCTAGTTCTCCTGAAATTCCTACCATGAGAGCCATCTAACCCAAGCCTCCTTGTTTTCTGCAACTAGAGTTAATAAAGATAATAATAAAGGAAAAAATCCATGTCAGTCCTCCCCATCTCCACCCTAATCTCAACATAGATTACCTGGAAGTCAACCTGTACTACTCTCTCATTGCTACAAGCTAGTTTGTAGGTAGAGACACAGTATCCTGGAAAGGATGACCTGTAAGGGACATACATATAAGTTGAGAGTGACGGGAAGAGGTCCTGGAGAGAGCATGCATGGTCCTACAAAGCAGGCAACAGTATGACAGCAACAATCTAGGAAGGGTAGAGTAGATAGGACACCAAAGCTTGCCTTGGGAACTGGATAGGACCCTAAATCCAATTGTGCTGCTTTGCCTATGACCAGCCTTGCATCTAGTGGCCTGAAAGTTAAGAGAAGCCAGAGAAGCATCTGTGACAAACTCTGTATACTTCAATGTGTTCATTTGGAACACAAACAAATCTCCGGAGTTTCACAGAACCAATTCTTATTAGTTTTGCCTAATACTCAACATGTGGAACACGAGACACGTGAAGGGCATGACACGGAATTTGTAGAAGGTTCTTAATTGAACAAATGTCAGTCCTTGGAGAGACTTACTCATTAAAATTAATTCCAGCCATGCCTAGTCAATTTCTATTTGCCACATACTATTTATTTATTTTGTTTTACAAGTAGCAAATTTTTCTGACACAGCTGAATGAATGACCTAGCAGGCAACAACCAAATAGAGATAAAAGGACACAAGTAGGGGAAGTGCAGTCCAATATTTCACCTAATCAAACTGCTTTTCATTTGATGCCAAAATTAATTCTCATTATTAAAACTAGGCACTCAGTTTTCATTCAACAACCTATGTTACAATTGTCCACTAACTTTTAAGTCTCTATATTCTATTAATCTATGTGGAATTTCTAATATTCTATTAAT